AACAATTAGGCTTAGCTTCATTTGAAGTCATCGTTGTTACCCATGAAAGATTATAATTTGCAACATTCTTTGTGTTATTTGCGAGTTAGTAAGGAGGGACGCAAGGTATGTGATGTTTTGATTTTTCGCTCTTAAACAACTCTCAATGATTGTTCTTATCGTCCCATATGACTTTCATGATGATTGCCCTGATTAGTTAAGCTACATACAACCAGTTGCTCTCTTGACTACTGAACTCTTTATGTAACCCCAAAATTATCCACTTGTCTGTCCCTTGAAGATTCCCCTTGTTTATCTTATTCCAATGCTTGATCCATCAATCCCATATGCGTCTGGACGCTAGGCAGGTCATCCACAGGTGACGATTAGTCTCCCACATCCATTTCCAGCAGACACAGCTCAATGGTACGATCATTCCTTTATTAACCAGGAATACAATACGTTTTGTTTTTTTGTTTTTTTTTCAAACAAACAACCCGAGCGGATGCAAGGGGTGCTGATAAGAGCAGACACCACTAGCACTCCCGGGGAGGCTCCATCTATTGGTGGGGAGCAACACCTGCTGAAAACCAGGTCCAGCGTCCCTTGACATTGTTAAGTCTCTGCCTTTTTAAACCTTATACCCTATCAGATACCACATGCTTGATCCTTGGAGCCCAGGGGTCTAAGGGTCCGCAAATGAAATGGACTACAATGCAATGCAATGCGATGCAATGCAGTGCAATAGAGAGCAACACACTAAGGAGAGCATTTGCTAGTATATCTGAGTCTGTCTTGTCCATCACTGGTTGCGTGAGAATCTCTTGTCCTGTGGACCGCTCTGTCGCATTGGTTGCATTATCCCTTCTGTGGGCTGCATTCGTGGTCGTAGGACCCAATTTGCTAGGATGCGTCTGTCTTCCGAGTCATAGTTCCAGTTAATGTTCTCCTTTGCGGGGTGTTGTTGCTGCTGTCTGTTCCTGCCATTTTGTTAGGACCTTGTGACTCCTCCGCTCTGCTCTTGTTGTGGCTTTTGTTGGCGTCAACCCAGGTCGATTGCTGGTCCCTGTACTGGTTTTCCGGTCCCACCTCTTGCAGTTGGTCTTCAGTTCCTGCTGCCCTATTATTGCTGGTTCTGTGGCGTGCTCAGTCCTGGAGACCTCCATTGTCACCAACAACCTGGACTGGTGGGTTGGAGGGAGGGGGGGGGGGAGGGGGGGGAGGGGGGGGGGCAACACGTGAAGGCAGAGGGGATGGGACCTGGTAGGTGGGGTGGGCGAGGTACGTGCGGGGACCATCTGTAACCAGCACAAAGTTGGTTTGTAGGTATGTGACTTCGAACTCACTGAAGGGTTTGCATTGCCAAGTGGGTTATATGGCCCTCCATGGCTTCTGGTGGATGTTGAGCACATAGTCCAGTTCTGAAAAGATCATATTTGGGTCCTGCCATAGCTGGCAATAGTTATCAATTATGGTTTGTCTGATTGCGTGGTCCTGCTGTTCCCCGATGTCCTGTTTTAAGGACTTCCATGCTTCTTGTGTATGAGATCTGACGATGTCATAGATCGCCTGTTGTGTTTGCTGTAGCCCAAATCTATGATCTTTCCTTTCAAATGAGCATCTGGCTCTCCAGGCCAACATAAGGATATTATGCAGTCTCGTGTAAGAGAAGAGGTTAGTTGCAAACAGGGACCATCGGTCCAGTAAATGTCGATTCTTGACCAGCAGCAGGAGGCCCAGGTCCCATGGGATATGTGTGCCTGTTTTTTTTTTTTTTTTTTTTTTTTTTGGGGGGGGGGGSGGGGGGGGGGGGGGGGGAACACCCCCCACAGTGCTAGTGCTGCTGGTACAAGCAGACAACACTAGCTATCAGTGAATAAAATAGAAATTTGATAATAACCACTTAATTAATATAAATGCAAATCTTCATCATCAATAAATATATAAATACATATTCGAATGGACAACTTTATCAATTTAATAGATTGTATTGACCATATACTAGTAGAATGAAAGTTATTACTTTCAAAAGAAAAAATATTGATAGCTGTTTCTGGAGGACAAGATTCTCTGTGTCTGTAAGGGCATGAAATGCTACATCCCACCACTTCGACAGTTGCTTAACCATTGGGCATGCCAGCAAGCAATGTTCGATTGTTGCTCTAGCAGGCGGCGTTGCTCTCCCACGGTATGTGCAAATGGGAGACAGTAGCCCCTTTTGCTCCAAGTCCGCTCTTGACATGAGCCAATCCGGGGTGGGGAGGCAACGGTGCAGAATCTGCCACTGCAGGGATTTGAGATTGGTAGGCATAATCTTAGCGTACTTGGGCCATGGTAGGTGATCCAGTAGTTTTGGGTCCATCGATGAGTCTTGTGCCCGTCTTTGTGAGCTCACTTAATCAATTGGCAAATCCGATCTTGAGGCTCCATTAGCCCTTTGACCGTGTACTCCCACACGTGCATGGGCTTTGTACCAGGCTATTCCCATTCAGCCAGATCAAACGGCAGCCTGGCAATCGGGGTTGTGGGCTCGTACACAAAGAAGCCGTTGTCGGCATCTCCTACTACTCTAATGAGCATTAGCCCTTCCCACATCTCATTTGCATCCAGGCCGTCATTCCTCGTCAGTTTAGGGAACCTAGCCCCCGGCACCTGCAGTTTGTGGGCATGTAAAGTACAGCGGCCTTCATCATTCCGTCTGACTTTGTATACGATGTGCGGAAGGGGCAAATCTGCATATCTTATTACCGAGTCATTCGGCGGTACCGCAGGACCCTTTGCGAGGACCCGTCTCCAGGCAAGGGGGAATGCTTCCCTCAGTTGGAGCATTTTGTTTTCCGCGTTCTTGGCGTGCTTCAGTTTTCGTTGCAGCTGGTTCGCCGTGGCCCAGTCAGCTCTCGCCGGGTCCCACAGGTCTCCTACCGTGAACACCCCTTTCTTGGCCCATGTGCGCCAAGCGGAGTTTGCCATTAGCTTAAAGGGGGTGCCCTTCCTTTTTTTTTTTTTTTTTTTTTGGAAAGCCCATGTGATATCCCTCTATCCTGGCGGTGGTAAAAGAACCGCCAAGATTGAGGGCTTATCTGTCGGGCTGCTCCATCTATTGTTTGGGAGCGGCACCTGCTGGAAACCGGGTCCAGCGTCCCATTGATACATCATGTAGCACATAGATTGGTGACTGTGGGTTCCTGAGGCTGTGCTCCTCATCCCGGGGCTCTGTTGTCCCATGGAACTGCTAGTGTCACCCATCCCCTTGTTGGAGCACCCCTTATCCCTAAGCCCAGCCCTATTTCAGCAGTCCCCCTGTTTGGTTATTGCTGTGACTGACCCTTGAATCCACAGCAGGCCCTCTGTTCTAACCGTGTTCTATCAATGATTGTGTGCAGTCCCATATCCTGTGTGCTATTCTGTCTGTCTTCCGTTCAGTGTTTGGAGGGGCGAAAACCTCTTCAGCCTGGACCCGGTGCCAGTTACCTGCAATGCTCACTAATTCCACCTTCTCCCCAACAGGAGTCGGTCCAGCATCCCTACAGAGACAGACTTTGCCTACACATGTATGACTGTTACCTTCATATTCTGCTAAGAGCAGGTGTCTTTCCCCTACCCACCAACCTACCTCCTTACTGATACCTGCATTCCTGCAGAAACAAACCTTGCCTTGTCAGGGTCTTCGAATAGAGGTTGGCGCCACACATTCTGCCACCTGGAGGGAGGTTGTTTCTGCTGTGGTCCCCATAGCCTCCACAGCTTGATCATATTGGGCCACAGTGGGTTGTTGTTTATATCAATTCTGGTTGCTTGGGCTGGGGTGTCCCCATGTCTTTGTTGCTGGGGGGAGTTTCTTGATGGGGGCCTGGCTTCCTTCCCTGCAGTGTCCCTGCTGGACAGTCGCTTGATTCTTCTTTTGTCATCTTATCCAGTTTCTTTTTTTTTGGGCTTATCCACTTTCTACTTTTTTTTTTTCCCTACTTTCTGTTGGGGACGAATCACCAGCTTTGGTTGGTCCCTTACATGTTTGTTTCAATTCACAGAATGCCGCTGTCAAAACGTAGCTGTGTACCTGGTCCCCAAGAAGACATCCAGTCGGCGAGCTTTTTCCATCCTCCCCCCGGCCCCCACCTACGGGCGTTGCCACACCACACTCGAAATGTGCAAAATGAGAATGAACTCCCCGCTAGAACATGACCAGATGCACCGGCCACATTTTTGTCTTTTTCACACTTCGAGAGTGGTGTGGCGAGGACCTATGTGGGCAGTTTCCCCCCTGCCCCCCCCTCTTTTTCATTCCATTTTCGAGAGTGGGACGTGGCTGCACTTGCTCTCAATCGGAAACTCTCGAAACCCGATCGAGAGCTGTCAGCGGGCACTCTATATCGCCACTCTCGAAACGTCGAGAGTAGCCCGCCTGCAAAACACGAATTTACAAGTGTCCTCGGGAGTTGCCCGCCGACTGGCTCGTTTTTCGAGAGTGGACCTCCTGTTCCAGCGGCCAGACTTTGTCCCGTAGTGCAGTGGTGCAGCCCTTCAGTCGAGTAGGACGACTCCCAGGGTTTCGGGAATTCATCTAGTGTCACAGGTTCTGGAGTAAGCGCAGCGAAGGAGTGTATTTCGAGAGTCTGGCCTCTCTGACAATGCTAGTCGAACTCTCGAAATATTTCGAGAGTCTAGAGTAGTGCAGAGAGGCCCTTAGCGTCGCATTTGGTGTCGCGTCGTCTCTCTTTCTTTTTTCTTTTTTTCCCGGGGTCGCGTCGTATCTCTCTCAGCCTTTTTCATCGGCTGGATTTGAACTCGCGGCCCGTCCTTCAACGGCTAAACATAAAGACACACACACACAAAAAAAAACCGCAGAACAAAAAAAACGGCCACACGTGTGCACCATTCGGCCACGAGGTTGGGTGCCCTGTCGAGCGCTTTGGCCTCAACGAGCTGTCAGTGGGTGACGCTCTGGGCGAGGAGGGGGAGGGAGGGGGGGGATGGGGCCGGGGGATGCCGCAGTTGAAAGCCGCGGAGTGACGGAGCAAGCAGGGCGGGTTTTGGGTGAGGAGGCGGATCGCTCCTGCGCGCCATAGCCTGAGTGCTTGAGACGCCCCTGCTCCATTCGCCGACTTCCCCCGGCAAAGAAGAACACAAAAAAGAAAAGGGGCCGCTGAGAAAGAGGTGGGGGAGAAGAGGAAGAGGAGAGGTGTGGAAGAAGAGCAAGAGATGGCGGCTTCAGCGACGATGGCTGGCGTGTCCCTGACGCGTGGAGGCTCCATGGTCGACTCCTGTCTTCCAGTTGGGCGAGCTCGTCGTGCCTTGCGTTCGCAGTCCACGCCTGCATTGCCAGCGGGAGTGCCGAGCCATCTCTTCTCTGGACACGTGTCGACTTCGAAAGAAACGGGGACCACCCAGGTAATGTGCGCACGATCACCTTATGTCTCTCTCTCTCTCTCTCTCTCTCTCTCTCTCTCTCTCTCTCTCTCTCTCTCTCTCTCTCTCTCTGTAGTTCGGTTGCTGGTCGCGGCCATGCCCTCTCCCCGAGCAGCAGACCGGACCTTCCCGTGGGGTTGGTGTCGGCGTCTCTTCTATTTTACCGACTGTTGGACCGCACATGCTCTCTCCTGCTCTCCATCTCACCCGTGAAGAATGGCGATACTCTCTCTCTCTCTCTCTCTCTCTCTCTCTCTCTCTCTCTCTCTCTCTCTCTCTCTCTCTCTCTCTGTCTCTCTCT